TTTGATTATAAGCTGCTTCGAGTATTTTTGTAAAGATGGAGTTCATATAAAGATAACTTTTACAATGAGAAAACCAAGGCGCCAGTGAAAATTTATGTAAATTTACTGAGATATTTGCTGGCAGAGCTAGAATTGGAATTGTGGTTTCCTAAATTCTAGTTTATGCAATTTCTTCTATTCCACAGGAGCTGAGTGTCAAGCTTTTTCCCCTTAACCGTGGAACGCATTATATTTGTTTTTAAAAGTACGGCAATCCTGCAAATATGTTTGAATTCAAAATTTGCTTTAGCTTTTGAAGGCCATCAGGCTCTGCCTTATTTATTGTTTTCAAAGGAAGTCTCTTCACATCTAAGGATCCACCCACGGCTGGGTGACTGGAAACTGCCAGCAGGCACAACAAAAGATGAAGGCCCTGTATTTCTTGCTGCACTAAATAGTCTTTCAAAAATATAGAACATCATTTTCCTGTCAGCCTTTTCCCACATGGATGGCAAATATCTACTGTGAATAAAAACGTATAAAAGAAAAAAAAAGACAAAGCACTTTGGTGCGTCATGCTTTAACAACGTGAGTTTTTTTGTTTCGTTTTGCTTTGTTTTGCTTTCATTTTCTCTCAGGTGCTTATATGAAGATTTTAAAGTTTCTCTATTAAAAAGTACCTAATTGAATTTATTCTATGGAATATAGCGTGGCTAGTGGGAAATCTTTTCTTTTTATTCCAGATGAAACAGAAACAAGTGTTGAATGCCTAATGCCATTTACTATCAAGAGTGCCCTCTGCTGGCAATTGCCTTGGATTTAAAAAAATACTCTATTTAGGCTTCAGGCTTTCATTTGTTGACCAAATGAGGTTTTTAATGCATTGGTTAAAACAAAAAAAATCTGAAGGGGGCAGGGGACCCCACGGATTTTGTCTAAGAATATAAATAAGCAAATATCATAGCATCAGGCATAATGTTACATGTCATGAAAAAACGGTATGTTTTCATTGTGACAACTTAAGAACAGTTGTTCGGCAAGTATTAATTGAGTGCTTATTCTGTCAGCAGCACTGTGTCAGGCATTGGGGTCACAAAGGTCCCACATCAGGACCCCAGAGTCTTGCAGTCCCCGAATAGTCACTATACCCGTGCTGAGTGCAACGGGAGACTGGAGGGTCACGGAAGTCAACCCAGGGAAGGGAGGAATTAGGAAGGCTTCCTGGAGAAGGCTGTGAAAGGAAGACAAGGCAGGGCAAAGACAGACACTCCAGGCAGACGGAGGAGTGTTAGGAAGGAGAAAATATGGTGCATGTGCAGAATGAGTGCAGAACCAGGATAATTTCAGCGCTGGCTTTGACAAATATTTGGGAAGTAGTATTGATTGGCCTAACACAATATGCGGGGTTTACCAAGAGATGATACTTGCTGTACAATACAGATTCTCAGGTGTTTTGGTCTCAAAGACTTTACCTTCTTAAAAATTCTTGAGGACCCCTAAAGGGCTTTTGTTCATGTGGACTTTATTTATTTGTCGGAGCCAGCCAACGAAGTAATTGAGGGTACCTGAAAGGAGGAGCATGGACTCAGGAAAAGAAAGAAGACAGACAGAATTGCAGGAGGGATCACATATTCAAGCTGTGTCTGTGTCCCCGAGTTTATTTAAAACACACTACTTATAGCATTGCAATGAGAAAACAGCAGTCAAGACCCAAGGTCAGCCAAATTACTCATCCTGCAAAACAATGAAGTTCTCTGCTTTGCTATCAAGCTCCCTTCTTGGAAAACACCGAGTGTTTAAAATAGTTTAGTGCCACTTATCTCAGAGCTCGCCAAGTTAGCTCAGCTCCCATTTATTGACGTTTGCCATATTAGAAATTAAAACTGAGAAATTTTGAACACAGTTGATGAGAAAATAAGTGAAATAGGGACTAATTACGTGTTACCTCAAGCTATATTTTATGGAAAAAAAAAAACACCTTAAAATTTCTCAACACAAACAAGTGGGAAGGGTGGGATTGTTTTTACATGTTTGCAAAAGTTTTTAATGTCTGGCTTAACAGGAGCCAGCTGGATTCTCATATCTGCCTCTGCAGCCCGTGTGTTACAACGCCACCTGTCAAGAAGCAGCTGGAAAACTCCACTGCGCACTCATGAAAAAAAAAAAAAAAGAGAAGCAAAGGCAAATAACATCACAGCATTATTATGAAAATCATTTTGATTTTGTGCTCCTCCCTCTCCCCGCCAAACCTCCCTCTCCTCCCCGCCCCCGGAGTGCCCAGCTCACACTTGGAGAACTAGCGCTGGCACAGGGAGGGACAAGGCCATGAGGGAGGGCCTTGTGTTAAGTGCACTGGACCTTACCAAGGGACTAAAGGACTTTAAGCTTAGAAATATATAGTCAGATTTGAGTTTTAAATCATCTTTTTTTTTTTTTTTTTTTTGTAGCTGTGGAGTGCACGTATTTGAGGGACATAAGACTAGAGAAAAGAAAACTAGTTAGAAAGTTATTGCAATTGTTTGGGCAAGAAATGATAAGGGACTCAACTAGAATAGTGTGTCTAGACATGGAAAGAAAGGAATGGATTTTGACAAATATTTGGGAAGTAGTATTGATTGGACTTGGTGATTGATTGAAAGTTGGAGGACTAGGGGAGATAAAGAAAGCTATCATAATTTCAGCTTGAGTAATTGGAGAGAAGATGGTAAAATAAGTGAAATAGGGACTATATAAGACCATACCAGTGCATTGGGAGAAGGAAATGCATTTAGTTTGGGACATGCTGCAGTGGTGGGGCTGGCTATAGGATGGCCCAGGAGAGGCATCTAAAAGTAGGATGAATTGCATCAATCTGAATCTTGTGCAGGGGCATCTTTATCATAAAACTTAAACTTAGGACCCATCATTTGCATGGGCCCCTTTCAAGGAACTAGAAGGACCCTATTCATAGCTGCATTTTTTTTTTTTTTTTAATACATAGAGGTTAAAATACCTTTTAACTGCAGTTGGTTACTGTCACTGACTCTTTCCTCTCCACTTTCTCCATCATGATTCCCTGTGTGTTAGATGGCTTGGAGGGGCTGCAGGCATTTTTAGGATTCAGTGAAAGGAAAATTGAAATGAGAATACATTTAGCTTGAGTTTAGTGGGATATCGTCATGTGATTTTTAGCTGCTTCTGTTAAGTTATTGCTGACTTACCCAGAAGAGGAATGAATTCCAGGAATACCCCTACCCCACACTCTGCCAGATGTATTGAAACAGGAACCAATTCTATTACATCCAGAACTAGAAGTTTGAGGGGAGGTGGAGGAAAAACAAGGTTAAAAATTTATGGGGCCAGTAGTAATCTGTAGGAGATTCTCCAAATCATCAGATATATTAAAAAATGTAAGTGGAGGATTTTGTTCTCATCGATGTCTAGTCAAAATGGAAGTTCCCTCCTGTCAGGAATTGTGGTGAATTAAAGAGAGTTATAACTTCTTAAAAAAAGTAGGCTGTGGCATCTATTCCCCTTTCCCTGAATTTGGGGTGATCCTGCGATTTGCTTTGACCAACAGAATGTGGTGAAACGATGCTGTGTAATTTCCCAACTTGAATCTTAGAAGATACAAAGCTTCTTGCTTTTGTATGCTTAGAATGTTCCATTCTAGATTTCAAATGTCATGCTTTTAGGATTCTATTTCAGGAGAAAATGGTATATGGAGGAGAACCAAGTCATTTAGCTAACAGCCAGCAGTAGCAGCCAGCCACGTAGTAAGCCATTGTGGACGTTGCAGCCCAGTGGAGCGCTCTGATGACTGTGGCCCCAGACAGCACTAAATCTAGCAGATGATCCACCAAGCTAAGTTCTGTCAACCCAGAATCATGCAGCAACAAATGGCTATTATTTTAACATGTAAGTGCCAGGATAATGTTACTCAGCAATAGATAACCAAAATAATTGCAGTAAATGGATAAAAATGAAAATAAAATGGAGAAAAAGGAGCCAAAAGAGAGTTTCTTCTGGACAAGACAGGATTGATTATAATTATGGAACTAAGAGGGAATGAGTAGAGTGAGAATTAAAGATACAGGAGAGAGGGGAGGTACTTCAGCAAGTTCTTGAATGAGAAATTAATTAATTAGATTAAGGACAGGAACTGAGGTACTGGCCTGCTTGGCTTTTATAACGATTCTAGCCAGTTCAAGGCAGGTTTCTCCAACATGAACAGCACATATTATATGCAGACAAGAAATGAATGTCATCAAGGAGGGCACTGAGCCACGTCTCAATGATTGAAAGGCAGCTGGAAGACTCCAGCGGGCAGAAGATTTGAGCAAAATTGTGGCTAGGGATCTGGGATATAGAGAGAAAGAGAGATAGGAACCAGGAAATGGGACGAGGGGTGCATTCTCAGATGAAATTATTTTATTTCCAACATGTGTCAAACAGATATATATATTTTCCTACTCCCACACTGGATTTTCATCTTATAAAATAGATTTACTACTAAAATCTTTCATAAAATCTGCCTTTCCCTTTGCAGTGGGAAATAAGCAAAAAGTCAAAGTTAAAAGGTCATGCATAAAATATTATATCTATCAAGATAATTATATAATAGTTTTAAACTCTTCACAGTCAATGATAAAACAGTAAGACTAATTAACAGTTCACTATATTTTATAGCACTTTAAGATTTTTTTCACCTATTTATGTTCACATTTCACAATGATATTACAAAAAGGCTATCAACTTTTCATAAAGTAGGAAAACAAAACAAAGCCATAATACTATATATATATAGATAATATATGTATAAT